CCACTGTTTTTCCGAACCCTATTGAGTGGGTCAGAAGATATCAAAGGTTATTGTTCTCCATTCTTTTAATCTAGAGATACTAGAATCAGGCTTACCTACAAGTTAAATTGGCTGGCAGGCGCTATTGTATTCTTATCATGAGATAATCGTACCTAGGGTCCGGCAATATTGCGGTATTGGTGTATTTTAATGGATGGCATTCTACCCATCAAAAAAGAAGCGTGCGATGTTGTGCTTCTAAGATCTAGATGAGCGTTGCGTCACCCTGTATATGTTGATAGCGACCAGGTCGAGGATGCCAAAATTCACGATTTTAAAAGCAGTCAAATTGAGCATTTCCAAGTTATGCTTGGCAACTGTTCCACCCTGGATCGGTTTAATCGGTGATTAGGTGTTGAAGTCCACCGAGACGTTTACTCAACGTTGGAAGACCGCACCTTGCAATATAAAATTGACTTTCTTGATCACTGTCTTGGCAAACATTCAGTTTTTGCAAAGCCCGACTGCAAAAAAAAAAAAACATATATATAAGCGCTCAAATTGCGCTGCTACCATGCATTCATGAATCAGATTCGATTTCCCGCATATTTGAACCCCCACGATATTCTACAAGATGTCCTCGCCTATGGATCGGAAGCACTGTCAAAGCCCAGAACCATTGATCGATTGTCCAAACAAAAAGCCGCGCGAATTGTATGAGGATGGAGAAGCCTCATTCCCGAAAGCGAAGGTGCTTGACGGGAGCCCCAGTAAAATGCCCCAGGTGAGTGTCCTGTCATGGGAAATCAGCTATTCTTTCACACGTACTGATGACTGCAGCAATCCCAGCCCGTTGGCGCTCTGACGGTGCAGATAAGACAACTACTGGAACTCGATGGGCCCCTTGCGGCACAAGGCCTCAATCTTCTCGGTTTGTACTTAGCTATGTGGGAGTGTTATATTGTGAAGTCCGCCCAGGGTCTGCGTCTGGTGAATGAAAACAGCAAGCTTCAAGCCTCGTATGACTGGCTCATCTATGAGAGGGATCTTCTCACACAACAGCTGCGGGAGATGGAGCTGATTCTGGAGGATCGAAGGAAGAAGGCAATTCACCTGCAGCATACGATGCTGGATTGTATGCCTTCAGGTCTTATGATATCCGCTCATCCTCAAGAGTAGCGATCTGGGACGAATCACGGATGTGATTATATTATGGCTGGCCGCCCTCATATAGTGGCTGTCACAAGCAGCAAAGTTGGCAAAAGATAAGCATATGAGTCTTTATACGTTCTCGAAACTATTAGTACTGCCTTTTACAATTGTTTGAAATTAGAAGTGACAAACGTATCGCACAACAGAGTTGATTGTCCAGCCCCCGTGGAGATTACCAAATTTGGTAGGACCGATTGATCGGGGAATTCTCTATTGAAACCTATATTCAAGTACCTGCGAATAATTGGTATGGTTTGGCTACCAGAACAAGTTCTTCCCCCAATCATGCGTGGTTCAGATTTGTTGCGAGATGCGAGTAAGACTCAGACTCAGAGAATGGTATGTAATCACGTGAGAAGATCCGCGGGCCTACAAAATCCCCGTTTCGAAGGGTTACGGGAGTAGCGGTATCCCATACGGTATCCCACAGCACCCGCCTGAAGAATGGCATGTCTTGACTCCACGCTGAAGCGCCACATAAAGAGGTCACTGCAACATGCTCTCGCTTTCCTCGACCTACGGTTTATTGCTAAAGGACTCCTAGCCAGTGAAAGGGATATGCGATCTTGATTAGGCCGCATAGTTCTTTCCCTGAATGTGACAGTTCAAACAAGCGAAAAGCTGACGATGGCCCGTAAACCCCCAAGGAGAGTACTCTGGTATCTATCAAGCTTCCTATACGTTCTCAATATCCTCATTTGAGAGCCATTTTTGAACTTGATTTGTGCGTCAATTTAAAGGCCCTCATGGTATAACATGCATAAATGACAAGGGAAGAATATTGATTAATGGTACGACGCAGGCGACACTTGCTGTTAAAATCATTAGCAGATGTCAAGGGCGAAGAATGAATATCACGTCCAGAAACGCTATTATCCTCAATAATTCTGTGAAATTTTCCAGAAGTGGAAATAAATAATAAATGACCATCATTTGATCCTAGCAGATACGTGAGATTTGATCTTCAATTTTCGTTAAATTGCATTGCAGCCTTGCATGATTCTCCACGGTTCATCCTAAATATGAATTGAGCTATCATTCAATAGTTTCCGACACCCTGTTCCCAAACCGTGGCAAGAGTCAGAATCGCTGGAGGGATCTCCAATCTCATCGGCTTCTCTCAACCTTGCAGTCCTTGCACTGCTTTTCCTTGTCATTAAAGCTGCTGACCGGCGCATCCTTGCCCACTGTGGCCGTTTCTTTCTTGCCGGTCGAAGGCGAGTCATTCAAGCGCGAATTACGATGGGACGTTAGAATAGGACAAGGGAAGTGGGAGGCCTAATAATTAGCATATTTTACTCAAGTATCATCTGAAGATGACATACCATTTGATGGGAAACAAAATTCCAGAACCCCGGCTCGTCTGCTGAAACAATGTGTACTTCGCCAGTTTCACGAATGCGAATCCCGACGCACACATCAGCATGGCAGAGGGCGCTGTATTCGAGAGCTTTCTTTATGAGTCCTGCTCTGCGGCGGCATCTTTTTTGACGCACTAGTTTTCTGGATTTCGATTGTGTAGCAAGTGTGCTCTCGCTTGCGGTCATTTTAGATCGTGCAAAGGTGGGTGATATTTTGATGCGATGCTGGAACTCGAAAGCTCAAATTTAAAGCAGCAGACTACACGTCATTTAAGAAAGCGGTATGAAATTTCTTCATTTACCAATAAAACTCATGGGTTCCCTCAAAGTTCAGCTTGGTCAAATGGCACAGCTATTGACCTAACTTTGAAGGCCGCTCTTCGAAGAAATGCGTCGCGGGGACTAAACAGAACGCAATCTTGGATCTGTTCCACTTCACCAGTTGAACAAACACCCATCTTCTAAAACATTGGCTTGCAATAAACTTTAAAAACTTCCAAGCTTCCATGGGATATTCATTTGTCATCGGGTCAAATAAAAAAGTCACGCATGGCATCCTAGTAAAATGCTGATGCCAGATGTAGCTAGCTCCAGCAAGATTTGGTATCGACTCGATGCTGTACTGTTATGTGCCGCTCAAGTAGCGGCTTCATCCCCGCCTATTGAGATGAGCGGTGCATGACTCGCAATTCAAGGTTGAACCGCAGTGCACACCTGATCATCATCAATTACCATTCCCACTATTAATACCAAGCGATCGATAAAGAGGCCAGAAGAGAAGCTTTGGATTTCAATGGCAACTGAATTCTTACCTAGAAGATAGTCTTTCACAGTACGCTGCTCCGTTGATATTGGCAGACCTCGATAGCGCTATTATATTGTTGGAGTTTAGGTAGCATGTGCATGATAGCTGTGAGAAGATCGCAGAGAATGCAAAGAGGGCTTCACATCATACAATGTTCGCATTGGTTCCTTCTTGTATCTTTGCAACGTTGACATAAACCCCCGTAGAGCTAGACAAGGAAGAAATGCGCAACGCCAATCTATATGTTGTTTCCCCCATACAGTGATAGCTTTCCTCCAGCGTAAAAAGGGAACGTGACCCAGCGACAAATACTGCACAGGGTCCTAGGATAAAGACAATGTCTGAAAATTAATCCTAAGGTTGAGAAAACGGGTTTGAGAAATTCTTTTACATAAATGAAGAAAGAGGGCCTTCAACTTAACCTAGATATATTGATGTTGGGGTAATTGATTCTCTGCGCCTGGCGTGCATTTTCTGTCGCGCGTCCACCGCTCGTCAGACGGTCCTTTTTTCTGCCGTCCTTTTTTCTGCCGTCCTTTTTTCTGCCGTCCTTTTTTCTGCCGTCCTTTTTTCTGCCGTCTTTTTTTCTGCCGTCCTTTTTTCTGCCGTCCTTTTTTCTGCCGTCCTTTTTTCTGCCGTCCTTTTTTCTGCCGTCTTTTTTTCTGCTATTTTTTGCCGTCTTTTTTCTCCTGTAGGGAAATAGCAAAGAACATGCAAAGCCACAAAATATCGAGAAATTGATAAACAATGACCTTCTCGCCTGTCGAAAGCCTCCCTGGGAATATTCCGGTTAAAGAGCTGAAGCGGGCTGCTGCCAGATTGCCCTGATATTACAGCAATGTGGCCAGCTGGTCATGGTACCTGGTGTTGCAAGCCTACAACGGGTGCACAGAAATGGAAACCTTTCCGAGCTACTACGCTGCAACAAAGGTATAATTCACCATGCTCTCCGTTGGTGTGCAAACGATTGTTTTTCCGCGAAATAAGCAACAGCTTCTTAATAAATTTTGAGCGATAACTTTATTTTACTTTTTCCAAGTTTGCTTCTTTCGTACTTAGACAAAGCCCGTATGCGGGTTTCTTCAGCCTTGTAAATGGCAGTATTGATTGTCATTAGACAGTCGTTCAAAATTTATGGACGCTGCCCCTTTTCTAAAACTATGACCCTTGAGTCCTGTGGTATTCCCCCCAGAGCATTTAAGCTTGTCGATAACGGCGACGACGGGGCCAGTGCAAACTTGCACTCGATGATTAGACAGGTCATCGGAGAGCCTTTGGGTAATAATAGCGGGTTCCTCAATATGGTGATTAGATGTTCGGCGGTCTGTCAGCTGGCCCGTACAACAAGGCGGCAGCCGAATGTGAGAATGCCGCTGCAAATAAACCCTAGATCGCCAGGATAGCGTTCAAGGAGAGTTTCCCACGCTGAACTGATAAAAGGAGAAGCAGAGTTACGCAGAGGCGGAAGGGAAGAGTCAAATATCTTAAATTGAATAGAAGTGTTGGGACGCGGGGCTGGCCAGCTGGTTGGCGGCGATAGCGTTTGGATTATATCAAGGCAGGCCGTGGCGTGGTCCTAACTCGCTGGTTTCACTTTGCAGCTTATCATAAAATGGTCGTTACTGCATTTGAAGCAAACGTGCCTACGGTGGACAAGTTCGCCAGCAGCAACCAGCAGAAGAGTTGAACTTTTCACAAATGACAGAATCGTTATTTGGGGCGGCGGTTGAGCGCGTTGATCGTGTGGTTGGGGTAGTTGGTGCCATCTTTGCTGGGAGTACATTGTCGGGGCGTAAGTAAGAGCTTTCGAGAGTTTTCCCGATTTCCCAGTCGCCAAGAGAAACGGTGAGGTCGCCTTTATCGACGACCATCTGGTGGTGGTCTAAAGCCATTTGCAGGATACACTCCTGCCACTTATATGCCCTAGCAAGGTCACAAATACGGCGGTGAAAAAGAACCATTCCACTGATGCATAGTAAGTGCTTGGCAGCAAAGAAATCACACCAAATAGCAATGTAATTACTGAAGCAGTGGGCCCACAGGGATGCGGCTTTTTCCCCAGTCTTTGATTGGAACCACCTTGCGGATTTGCAGGCCAGACGAAGTGGACTTTAAGTCGGAGGGATCGCCACCTGGTGCCGTGGCTTTGAACTCGGGGCTGCGAAGTTTTATGAGGTCCTTCTTTGGGCGGAAGGTGTGTTCGAAAATGGCTATAATGGCAGCACGGTCGAGACCGGGGAAGCGGGGGAGGACTGGCAAAACAAGAGATGGGACCCTACCGTCGTCGAAGTCCTCGTCTGTGGTGAGATCTATTGGTGGGCGCTTACGCTGCCCGTCACCCGCAACAAGGGAAGCAGACACGGTGGACATGAATGAATCGCGTTGGGTATCAGAGAGGGAATTCCAAATATACTCCGGTGGGTAGAACGAGGAGCCTAAGGTGGTCTGTCCCCCAGGACTAGGACTGGGGCCTCGGAACTATGTCGCACTATTCAACATTGTAAGAGGAACTCTTAAAGAAGAAATCGCTGCGAAGAGAGCCCAACATTCCTTCGAAGCGGCGATGTTCCTTTCGAAGGAGAGGATGTACGAAAATATCTGTGTGCGATTACAAGCACGGAATATCATGGACCGACGCAATTAGGGGGGGGGGGCTCTCCGCAACTATCCCGAATAGAACATATCATCTTTCGAAACCCCCCCCCCTTCCCCGTTGACTCCTATATCCTGCTCCTGTCCCTCCACTCTCCCTCCCTGTCACAACCCATCTATCCTCGTCAAGTCTGTCCAAAAAGCATGACTTCTCATAAAAGACCAAGGCAGGTTACCCTCTCTTCTGAGGAAACTCATTCCGATGATCCCTTGGATGACACGGATAGTGAGTGGGAGAGAATCACAGAAGACCCTGTCAAGCGAGTCGCGTTTGAAAGAAAGTGCATTGAAGATGAGCTCACCAATCAGAAACGAGTAATTCTATTGCAAGAAAATCCCAGCAGAAGGAGTCACTGTCGTTTCTGGGACTGTGTTCCTAGGAAGTTGAATGGAGAACCCAATATCAGGTCTGCTTTTCGTTTCAATGTTAAAGACCTTTCCGGTCGATACTATGGTAAGTCCTCACAGTCCCGAAAAGATCTACCTTGAATCTCACCAGTAGTAGAACCGAACAAGTACTATCATGTGTCATGCATGGAGCAAATATTTCCCGACCTGAGTTCCCTGGTAGAGCGGGAGGTTTTGCATATGGAAGGCGGGGTCACCCAGCTGACCTCTGTTGTGATTCCAGATTGGTGCAGATCAGGAACAGAGCCGCACCATCGGAATCAATCCCGATGTATCTATACGAAGACTCAAGTTGATTGGAAATCAACTTGTTCTTCTCGATGTATATATATAGTCTTATCTTTCCCTCTCAAATAGAACAATCAATCTTCCTTTGAATTACAACAACCTCAGCCTGCGGGCAGATATCACAGTTTCACAATGCCATTGAAGATTGGTTCCGCTTTAAGGGTCGTACCTTCGAAGTGGACATATACGATCGATTCCGAAGGGCACATGCCAAGTGGGACCGGAAAGACAACACAGTGGAGATCAACCATCAACTCGGGGATCATGAGGGTAGTCGTCAGGATTGTGAGAAGTGTGAGGAAGTGCCGCATGAACCACTGAGAAAAGATTACTTTCCTGAAGAGCCTCGCAGTAGCCTACTGAGTGAAGTTCTGGCCTCCGTGGTTGGCGTGGGACACTTGGATGAATTAGATGGAGATTTGAATGCTCGCCGTTGTAAGAAGATTCGGCGCAGCTAGTACTGCTATGATTTGTCGATCATATTGTTGCTCTGATATTATGACTATGAATCGTTATTAGATGTCTCGGCTACGAGTGATCATTCTTTTCTCAAAATCAACAATTGTGCGATCAGAGATTGGCATAATGTTTACGCTTTACATCGCTTTGTAAAACACAGCTAAATAGAAAAAACAAAAGGCACATCTAATATTCATGATAGTGGTAGGCCAAGAGCTGGTAAAGGTAAACAGGAGACAGTTCCGTGCACTCCTTCTGCATGGTTCAGGAGTGATTTTTTTGATTCTAGTCCTTCTCCGCAAACATTACACCTGCAGTGCATATCATTCGGGAACGGCTTGATATGCCGGTTGACAAAGTGCCGACTGAGAGAACCAGGGTTCTTGTACATTCTCAGACGCTCCTTTTCGGGCAGCCCAGCATTACCAAGGCAAATAAAGCAGATTGTTGGTCTTTGCTTTTCGTTTTTGACGCAGACAGTGGCGATGGCTTGACAAAAAGCATCGTCTCTCTCTTCTGCAAGGGTAGATCTCTGCCTATTAGGCACGGGGGCAGCAGCGGGCACATCAACTGCATCGACCGGGCGTTTCTGCGGTGGAGGAGGCGAGGGGGCACCTTCTTCCGCATCACAGACAGCAATCACCGCATTGATTGCAGCAATTCGGCGTTCGGTTTCTTTCTCGACTGTCTTCCCTGGCATAGTCAAGACACTGTCGATAAGCGTCATATGCTGCGGTGTCATATAGCCTGTACGCTGCAACGCACCCATAACTTCTTCATCAACAACCTTTCCGGCAAGTTGCCGCTCGCTGTCTATCACTGGCTGCTCCTCTTTGTACCGCTCTAGGTTCTCGCGAATCAAGCGGTGCTTTTGCCTTCTCTTCTCATTTCTCAGCTGCCTCACTGAGTGCTGAAACAGGTCCTCTGCGCGATTGTATTTCTGGCACAATTTCTCCACGTTTTTCTTTTGAGTTCTCCACCGCTTGTGAATTCTTCGGAAACCCTGGGTTGCAGGACTCTTCTGCGGGGGATCATCGCCGAATTCTCGCTGAAATGCAGCCTGCGCATTTTCGTAGGTACGCTTCTTGACATCTCGGATCCGTGAGCGCGCCTGTTTCCTCTCTTCCAAGGAGTGCACATGAGGAATGTCATTGATACAGCTCGAATCCTCTAGCCGGTATGGTCTACGAGGATCAATGGACCGACTCATTGAGCAGGCAAACCGCATGAGTTGCTTCTGGGCGGGCAGGCCCCTTACAATTGCCTGAGCGTCCACATGAATACCCACACTGTAGTGCCGAACAAAGGTGTCAATACTTGCATGCTGCAGCATAACGTTCTGTAACTCATTCGATACATCCGCTGATTGGGGGATTCCATTAGCCACCTAGTTATATAATGCGGAATTTGTTACTCACGACTATCATTAAATGCTTTCGCTGCGCCGTATCGAAGGCAATACGGCTTCGCGACTTCTTCAAAGCCTGTGATCTCGCCGCCTCGTTTCATTCGGTAGCTTAGCCATCCTTTATTAAGACTCTTTTCCAGTGCTATCCGAATTCCGTCCGGTTCTCGTAGTGCGTGACAGAAAACATGTCGATCGAGGATTTCATCCTTGAGCTTCAATTCCTGTTGTCCAAGTCCGCTGAGGACCCGAAGACTGTATAATTTCTCTGGGCAGTTCATCACCGGGCCGTCCTTAGACAGACTTTTAAACGCGCCAACTCTAAATAGCATGCCCAGCAGGAAAACATGAGGACTGAGGACCAAGGTAGGGTCGAAGATAATTTCCGGGATCGGGAATGTGTTCCTAATTGAAATGATCAGCAAAATGGCGGAGACAATGATGTGACTGAAGAAGGATTGGGAGGAGGAAGGAATGACTTTTCAAGGGAATATTCTCACGATTCTTTCTCTCCAAGAAATGACTTTGTGAATTCTGGCCTCAAGTAGATAAAAAGTCGGGGGCGTCCTCCGTCCGGATCCCGGATTAACGTCAACTTTAGATCCTGGAAGCGAAGCTTTAGCAACGCTCCGGGCCGACTACCAGTAATAGCCGCTAGCTGGCAGAATAGGAGGAGTTGGATCCGGTACCAGCCACAAGGAAATGTCATTTCTGTGGTGGACAGGATCACTCGGGCGAATTCAGCCACGTCCTCGACATACATGGTCGCTTTGGGGCGCTTTTTGAGGGAGAGTTTTTTGTCCGTGGCTACTATCGCGAGCACCTATGGAACGTCAGCGGGGTACAATCGATGCCGGTTCTGAAACTCAACCATGATCTTACATCGCGGACCTTGACTTGGATATCCTTACTGAGGCCGTGGCCAACTTCGGCTGTGTATATCAGATGCCACCACTTCCAGAATGCGTTAAGTGTGCTTTTTTTGTTCACTCCTGCGGTGTGACGACCATCCTTTCCCCGTCGCTGGTCACAGCGCCAGGAGAAGAGGGCCTTAAGGAAGCGGACCGTCTCCTCTGTATCAGAGAGCCAGGAAAGACATTCTACCGGATCACGTTTTGTGCCTCGACAAAACCTGCGAAAAAACATCAGCGAACCAGGTCATGTAAACGGCTTGCTCTAGTGGTATCCTACCTGTCCCAGAAATCTTGCGTCTCATCCAATCGCTCTTGAGTTTTCGGACTGTAACGTTTCTGTCGGAGCTTGGAGACATCTAAAGACTCGGCCTCTCGAAGATAGTGTTCTGGTGAAAGTTGCTCCTCTTCATCATCTAGCACCAGCTCATCCTCGGACTCATCGTCAGACTCAAGCTCGGATTCGGATTCGCTGCTGGTGTCCAGGTCGCTAGTTGCGGTGGAGGAATCAGAGTCGGAGGCGTTGTTCGAGAAGACATCCGGCAGAACTGAACTGGAGTCGCTCTCGTCGTCAGCTAGAACTGGGGACGGCGAGTCAGGCATGGCAGGCATGGCAGCGGATTACAGTGTGTGACAGAGGTGGCAAGAGGACAAAAAAGACCAACTGAAGCACGAGAGAGGGGATGGTCGAGGCTGATATTATTTCAGTTTGGACGAGTCATCTGTTGGAAACTCAGGCTTGGAGCTGGAGAAGTTGCTGGAAAGCGAACGAGGACTGCCGGCCGGGGACCATGCTTGGGGTATTTATGGAAACTCAGAGAATCAGAACGGTCAACAGGGGAGCCATTTTTGGCTCCCCTCCCACCTTGACTGGGAGCTTGAGCGAACATGGGACCCTGCGGCGGCGCCTGCAGCTCGAATGGACATGGGCTGGAACGATGGGTCAGGCACCAGGAACAACAGCCAACAGGACGCTCGGGTGGCATTAGATGGTGAGGCCGTGGCCTTTGGCACACGTGACGCCAAGACCGCCCACGGTGAGCGGGCGGCTTAAAACGGCGTCAAAGGCCGCCGTTTCTGGCCTCCAATTCACCGTGTCATTGCTATTTGGAGTATTACTAGTACTTCTATTAGCTTATATTCTCTTTATAATTAAATTACTTACTCTTTCTTTATATTCTATATTAGATATATTACTAAAATAGCTCTTTATCCTTCTAAGGATATTATTCCTAAGATCTATTATAACTAGGATTATATAAACTTAATTAATTATACTTTATATAAAAAGTATAATAAAAATTACTTTTAGATAAGGTTCTTCTCTAAGTTATATTTAAATTAATACTAATTTATCTTAGATATCTTATAGAATTTATAGTAATTTATATTAGTTTTAGTTAATTCTTAATTAGATATATAAAGTTTAAAGTAATAGTATTATTATAGTAGTTATTAGTAATACTATACCTACTTAAGATAAAGAAAATAAAACTATAACTATAGGGAAATCTATTTATCTCCTAGTATCTTTCTAAAAGATAATCTCTATTTATCTTTCTAATTATAAGCTCTATTTTAATTTATAGAATATAGACTAAGCTATAGGAATATATACTATATTTATTATTAAATAATAGAAAAAGTTAAATATTAAGACTAGTTTATCTCTTATTTAGTCTTCTTACTATCCTAATAATCTTTTATATCTATAGATTAGTAATATTAGTTTTACTCTCTAGTAGAGTAGTATTTAATCCTTTTTTATAGAGATTATAGTAGGATATTAATATAATATAACTTTAATTAAAGTTATTTTAACTTTAGCTATAATAATAATAATTACTAATATTAAAATATTTATAGCTTAGTATAGAATTCTATAGTAATTTATTATTTTTATCTTATTTATCCTCCTCTTTTTTAACTAAGTAGCTTTATTTAGTATAGCTTTTCTTTATCTAGTATTAATTTAAAGGTAATTTAGAGAGGTTTTAAAAGGTTTTTAGTATTATTAAAATATTATTTTATAAGCTTAGTTTTTCTTAAATAAAGTTATTATATTTCTTATATTTTCTAAATATTCTATTAGTTCCTATTAGTTATATTCTAAGAGCTATCTTATCTATTTTATATAATAATATAGTACTTTATTAAAGACTCTTTTATCTTAAATCTCTTTAACTTCTTATTTTTCTTTATTTTTAAGTTTTAATATTAGTATTTATAAGTTATTATTATTTTAGCTATTCTATAGTTTAAGAAGAGAGATAGAGAAGATATTATATAATCTTAAGTATTTTTCTAATAATATAATATAATAAACCTAGATACTAATTTTTATAAGGATATAAAAGGATATAATTTAATAGAGGGATAGTTTCTTTTCTTTAGTTTTAAAATAGAGATTTTTTATTAAAAGAGATATAAGGATTCCTACTTTAAAATCCTTTAGTTTATAATTTTTATTATAGGATCTTTATTATATTTCTTATATAATTTAAAGCTTATTTATAGTCTTTTTATAAATATTCTAGAGGTAATTTACTTATTCTTTAGTATTAGAAATCTTTTTCTTAAATCTTTTATTAAGAGTTTAAATTTAGAAACTAGGATTATATCTAAATAATATATAAAAAAGGATCTTATTAGTTAATATATTAATAATATTATTATATATAAATTATACTATCTTAAAGAATTAAATCTAGTTTAATTATTTTTTATTAATAAAATATTTAAGATAATCTTCTAAAACCTAGTTAAATCTTTCTATTTATCTATTAGTTTAGAAATAGAATATAATAGAGAACTATAGTTTAATCTTAGAATAATAATAAAGTTATAACTAGAACTTATTTATAAAAATAGACTTTTAATTAAAGATAATCTTTTCTAGATTTCTATATTTAAGTTTAATTTAATTAAAAAAGAGTTTAATAAGATCTTTTATAGATATTATTATTAATATAGAAAGAAATTAAAAGAATTTTATAAATTAGTAAATAATTACTAGGATTATATTATATTTCCTTCTTTTAAAGATTATAATTAGAAGTCTTATAATAAAATTTATACTTAATTTTATAAATAATCTATAAAATATAGAAAAGGGTTAGAGTTCTTTATAGAAATAATATTTAAATATTTTAATTTCTTAATATATTAGATATATTTTAATATATTCTTATATATCTTTTAATAGATATTTCTAATAGAATTTTCTTTTTAGAAGTTCTTTTATATATATTCTTCTAAAATATCCTATAAGTTACTTATTATAATAAAACTTAATTAGTTTTTATCTTAGGTTCTTAATAATAGAGATATAAAAATATTCTTTATAATATAAAAGTTTCTTAGAATTAATATTTTAATACTTTTCTTATAGAATATCTTTTTAAATTATATTAATTCTTTTTTAGATTATTTTATCTTTATCTTAAAGTTCTTTAATTAATAATTTTAATTCTTTTAGAGATTTATCTATAAGTAGATCTTTATTTGTAGTTATAGTAACTACTATTTAAAAAAATATAAATTAAAAGTAACTTAAAACCTTATAATATATTATATTATAGCCCTAACTTAGAAAAAACTTAGTTATATTATAGCTTTAACTTAAGAAAACTTCTTTATTATTCCCTAGATCTAAATAATTAGCTTTATTAGACTTATTTATAGTCTTCTTTAGATTCTTCTAATCTATAGGAATAATAATATTATTTTAAATCTAGTTTAGCTTTAACTCTAGATTATTAGTTAAACTATTTATAGTTAAGAAGAGAGATAATAATAAACTTCTATAGATTAATATAATTATAATTATTAATCTCTACTTTTTTTTATTTTCTTCTCTAAATAGTATTATACTAGTAGTAAACTACTATATTTTTATAAATAATTTAGCTATAATTCTTTTATAAATTAGTCTTAATATCTTTTTTATAGATAAAGGCTTCTCTTTTTCTAGAGTATAGAATAATCTATTTATAGGATTAGTCTTTCTTAAATAATAATATATTATAAAATTAAATAAAATAAGGAAAAGATACTAATATATTTATTTTTTATTAATCTTAGATTAATCTATAAATAACTTTAGGTTATAGTAATCTATTAGAATCTTAATCTAATATTAGTTTTCTTTAAGATATTAATACTAATATTTAAATAAATAAATAATTATAAATAACTCTTAATCTAGTATTATATAGTTTTATTCTATAAATAAGAATTTCTTTAACTAGAAAGTAATAGAATATTATATTATTTAATTATCTAATTATAAAAGGATTCTATCTATTCTAAAACCTAAAGTATTAGTTTTAAACTAAATAGATCTCTCTAGATTAAAATATTATAAGAGAGATATAATTAAAAAGGTATCACAGTATAGATCCTTATATAAGAGGATCCCTATTCTTATTATTATATAACCCCTAAGACTATTAGAACTTCCTATTCCTATTTGATATAGCTCTTTAAGCTATATCTTAGTTAACCTTCTATTTTATAGTCTATCTATAATATAACTACTTCTAATCCCTTATTTACTATATAAGCTAGTCTACTAGCTTCTAATATATAACTATTTACTATATTTTAATACTATATAGCTTCTATCTCTATATTAAGAGTTAGACTACCTATTAATTATAGACTAACTACTAAAGCTTATAAAGATTTCTCTATTACTATTCTTATTTAAAAATCTTAAAACCTATATTAAATACTATAATATAAACCCTAAAGCCTAGTTTATATACTATAAATAAATATATAAATACCCTAAGAAGATTAGAAAACTAATCTATCTATACTACTAATAATACTATATTACTTAATAAGAGATTATTTATCTAATCTAGGAAATTATCTAGATTAAAGAAGAACTTATATAAATCTATAATAAACTATCTAAGAAAAATAGTATCTTTAAATATTAAGAAAAAAAACTAATATAAACTTAAAAAAACCTCTTAGAATATACCTATAAACTAGAATCTATCTACTAAAAATATAATTAAGCCCTAATAATTACTACTTTTATTATAAATACTTCTTATATAAGCCTAGTTCTTAAAGTATTTACTAAAAGACTATTAACTTTAGTATTAAGAATATCTCTACTATCTAATTCCTATACTATTTATTTCTCTATTCTTTCTAAATATTTTCTAGATCCTTATATATTTAATAGAGATTATAAAGATCTCTATTAATTTATATTTTAGATTTAAGAAAAATTAACTATAAACCTTAATTAATTTCTAATCTTAATAAGCTAAATATTATATATAATAAATTAGCTTAAAGGAATCCTATATATCTAGATCTTATTATATATTTAGAATAGAAGTTATATCTTATCTAACTATAGAGAAATCCTAAGTATTCTTAAAAATATTTTTAGTAATCTTAATTATATAAGTAATATCTAAGATAAACTCTTCTAATTCTAATAGACTAATAAGAAATTTAACTAGTTTTTTACTAAATTCTAATATCTTATATTTAAAGAAGAAATACTTAAGAAAACCTTATTTATACTACTAGAATAAACTATTAACTAAGAACTCTATAGAATATTTCTCTATAATAAGCTCTTAATCTATAAATACTATTAGTTTATAGCTTTTCTCTAGAAGCTTAAAAACTAATATATATACTATAATAAAATAACCTAATTCCTTATTATATAACTAATACTAATATAGATATAAGTTTATAATTTATCTTCTATTTAGAATAACTATCTAGACTTCTATATAGTAAGAAATAGTTCTTTTATCTTAATATCTATATCTACTTCTCATCCTATAGATCTAACTTTAAACTATTTAACTTACTAAGACTATAGTAAATACTTCTATTATAAAACTAAAGACTATTTTATATAAAACTATCTATATCCTAATTAATACTTTATATAAATATATTTTATCTATATAGAAAGATTTATTTCCCTAGAATACTAGTATACTATCTTACTAGAATAATATCCCTAATCTTTATTATCTAGTTATTCCTTATATAATAAACTACTAAAAGAAATAAACCTAGTCTAAACTATAATTAGATTAATATAATCTATATAATCTATTTATTTACTATTATTATTTAAAGAACTACTATTAATAAAGAAATCTAATACTCTAATCTAATTATATTACTAATTACCCTAAATTAGAATAAGAAAGAAATTCTAATATATATAATAATTAATAACAATACTAAAGAAAAGTATTTTATTAATATTAATTAAACTAAAGAATATAGTCTTATATAAGAACTCTTAAAGAATCTAATCTAACTAAAAGACTTTAATAGCTAAGAATCTAAGAGTAGATAGATAATCTACTTTATATAAATAAAGATAACTATTAATAAATACTAAGAAAAAACTAAGTTCTTAGTTATTTAATTTATATACTACTTAATTATCCTTAGACTATCTTAGTTTAAGATCTATAATCTAAGAATCTAGTTTATTACTTATATAGTTAAGTTTAATAATATATATTATTAGAAGAACTATAATATTATTATATAAAGCCTAAAGATCTATACTATATATAAAATTCCTTTAAAAGCCTATTCTTATAATTAACTAGACTAATCTATCTATCTAAGATCCTAAGATATTAAAGCTATAAGCTTAAATATCTATATAATATATATTAAAAACTAAAAAGGCTACTAACTCTTTACTATAATAATTAAAGATATTAAAGTTATTTTAAATAAGAAACCTAAAGAAGAGAACCCTATTAATTATCTACCTACTAAATTTTAAGACTATATTAATATATTCTCTCTAAAAGAAGCTAATAAACTATTTCTATACTATTTATATAACTATAATATATAGCTAGTAAAAGATAAAATACTATTATTTAGATCTCTTTATACTATATCTTATATAAAGCTTATTATCTTAAAGAACTAGATTATAGAGTACTATAAGATTACTTTAATAGAGATATAATTAGAAGTATTAGTTTTAAGTATTATATTCTTTATCTAATTAAAAAGGGTTAGAATAGAGATAAATATAAAAATAAACTTTAATATCTTAAATACTTTCTAGTAAATAGGATCCTAGATAAAAATAATATCTTTTTTAATTAGATAGACTAATTATATGATTAGTTTTAAAAAATCTTAGATAAATTATTAATAGAAGTTTATAAATCCTAAGAAGACTTATATATTAATAAGATAGATTAGGGTCTTCTATTTAGTAATTATATAAATCTTTTCTAGATTTATATAGAGACTATCTTATTTAATAATAATTTCTAAGAACTTTATTTTATATATATAGAATTTATATTTAGATAATTTTATAGATAAACTAGTTTTATAAAGTTATTATAGGACTTTTTATATATATTTAATATATTTAGCTTTTATATAACTATAGATTAGGATATTATCTAAATATATAGTATAGAATAAGTCTAGGTAGTTATAGAGAAAGTTATTAATAAACCTTTAGAAGATTATAGAGACTTTAGTAAATCTAAATAATATTATAAGGGATTTAAAGAGTCTAAGTCTTATATAAAATACTATAAGATATTCTTACTTAGTCTTTATATAGAGATTATTAAATACTAATATAATATTAACTTTTATAAAGAATTTTATTCCTTTTAGATTATTTAGAGTCTTTTTTATTAGGAGTAGTAGATAATAGTCTTTAACTATAACTATATTTAAGATATAGTAGTCTATATAGAATTATAGATTACTACTAGATTTATAGATAAATAGTATAAATAAAGTAATAGAAAATAAACTTAGATAAATAAATCTTTTCTTTAATAATTAGAATATTCTTTATTCTATTATATTTTTCTCTAAGAAATACTTTATAATAAAATATAATTATAAAATCTATAATAAAGAACTACTTATAATTATATAATATTTTAAAAAATAATATCTAGAGTTAGAGAGAATAAACTTCCTAATCTCTATAATTACTAATTATTAAAACCTAAAATATTTTATAATAATAAAGCTTTTAAATTAATAATAAGCCTAATAATCTAAGTTTCTATTCTAATTTAATTTTAAGATTATTTACTATCTTAGATAATAAGATATTAAGCCTAATATCCTAATTAGAAGATTAGAAGATCTTTCTAAAGAAGAAGATAAATAACTCTAATACTAAAGTTATATAATCTTAAAAAAAGAGAACTTAGATAACTAGATCTAAGATAATCTAAATATTAATATTATAACTATATAATAATTTAAATTAACTCTACTAAAATATAATACTAAATCTAAACTAACTCTACTAGAATATAACCCTAAATCTAAACTAACTCTACTAGAGTATAAACTAATTCCTAAAAGATCCTAAAAATCTTTAAGATTTATTAATAATATTCTATATAAATTACTTATTACTTTAAAGAAAGCTTTTAATAAGATATATAAAAGAGATAAAAAACTTTAATTAATCCTAGAAGTCCTAGATCTAAACTAATCCTAATATCTAAAGATTATATTTATTAAATATATATAAAATATATATAAAATAGAAATTACCTCTTATTTAGAGACTAACTCTATATTCCTAATAATAAAAACCTAAAAAATAAGTTTATATAACTTTACTATAAAATCCCTATTACTAGATATCCTAAATATTTAAAAATATATAAATTAATCTTCTAAAAGTACTACTAATCTAGAATCTACTAATATATTATCTATTAGATCTAAAACTATTATATTTACTAAAGGATTATCCTATTTTAAAAAGCCTAATAAGAAGTTTTTTATTTTTTATTTATATCTATATAACCCTAATAAAATATCTTAATAGACTTTATTATATATCTATTAGAAAGTAATAGATTTAATATTATCCTAATAGTAATAGATTAACTTATAAAGATAAGATATTTTATATTTTACTATAGAATCTATAATACTAAGGAAGTCTTCTAATTATATATCTAATATATCTAGAAGTTATATAACTTATCTTATATAATTATATCTAATTATAGATCCTAATTTATATTAGAACTCTAAAGATACTTAATCTAATATCTATAAATTATAAATCTATTATTAACTATATACTATCCTAAGACTAATAGTTAAACTAAATAAATAAATATAATCCTAGAATAATATTTATAAATATATATCTTATATTTATAAGATAATTAATTAAAATAGCTCCTATTAACTAAATTTATTTTAAACTCTAGTAAATCTAAGACTACTAAAGTTTCTCTATTCTTTATTAACTTTAAATTCTATTTAATCCTAGGATTTAAACTTATATAATTAGATTCTTATCTATTTATTACTATTCTAGATACTAAGAAGATTATTATATAAATAAAAGATATTACTAAATTTATATAAAATAAAATAATATTTATCTAAATCTATTATAAAGAATCTATAAACTAATATTACTAATCTACCTAAAATTATTAAGTTAGATAATTAGTCTAGCTTAGTACCTAAAATATTAAGACTTTTTACTTATAGAAGAAACTTAATTAAAAGAACTTTAATCTATTTAAGATTCTTAAGACTATAGGTTTATATATCTACTATCTAGAACTTCTACTTAGAATAAAGATCTATTTTATTTTTAATATAAACTTACTCTATCTTATCTTAGATAATCCTCTTCTAATATAAAGATAATCTTCTCTATCTTTAATTAAAATTAAAGATCTTAAGAAATAGATTATTAAAGATATCCTAGACTTTAAATAGGAATAATAAGATTATATAAAACTCTACTTAAAGTATACTATAAAATAGTTAGATTATAATAATCTTATAGAAAAACCTACTAAATACTTAGAGAATACTAGAGAGATTATAAATAACTTCTATTAAAAATACCTATTAAAACTTAGTTTAATCTAAGTACTACCTTAGTTTTATAAAACTTAACTCTAAGAAAAAAAGTAATATTATAGTATAGATCCTTATATAAAAGGATCTTTATTCCTATTATTATATAATCTCTAAGACTATTAGAACTTCCTATTCCTATTTAATATAGCTCTTTAAGCTATATCTTAGTTAATCTTCTATCCTATAGCCTATTTATAATATAACTACTTCTAATCCCCTACTTATTATATAAGCTAGTCTACTAGCTCCTAATATATAACTACCTGCTATACCCTGACAAAAGGTATTAATAAGGTCCTAAAATATTTTTAATTTATAGTTATTTAGTTTAATATTCCTTAGTTTTTTCCTATTTTTATTTCTTTTAAGAAGTTTTATAAGTAGTAGTATAATTAAAGAGTAATTTTTAATAAATCTTTAATAGAATTTATAGAATCCTAGGAAGACTTAAATCTTTCTTTAGGATATAGACTACTTCTATTTCTAAATAGCTTAAACCTATTCTAGATCTATAGAAATACTATTTTAACTAATAATAAAGCTAAGGGATTTAACTTATTTCTTATAGAATTAATATTTAGAGGCTTTTATAAATAACTATATTTCTCTTAATCTTTTAAGTATAAGATAAAGGTATTCTATATATTCTTTATAGATCCTAGAGAAGATAAGAATATTATCTAAATATATAATATAAATAATATTAAGAAGGCTATAAAGTATAATATAGATATAGTTTTAAAATATTATAGGTATATTAATAAGACTAAATAGTATAACTATATATTTAAAATAGCTATATCTTATATAGAAAGCTATTTTCTATTCTTCTTCTTCTTAGATATAAATTTAATAGTATATATCTTATATATTGATTTTACTAAGGAATTAAACCTTAGAAAAGTAATTAAGAATCTTTGAAATAAAGAATAGAGAATATTAATTTTTAACTAAAATCTTATTTAGATCTTAATAATTAATATAAAGCTATAGTTCTCTATCTTTTTTAGATATAAATAGAATAGATATACTAACTAGGCTCTTTAATAATCTAATTTAATTATTT